CCGATCGAATGGGAGGCGGGACCAGCCCAACCGCCTCCTGCAGGGCAGGGTTAACCCTTCCCTGCCGGCAGCCGCCCCGTCCCGCAGCGCACCCCGGCCCCTGGCGGCGGGGGCAGCGTGCGGAGCCCGCCCCGACCCCGCGGCGAGAGGCTCTGGGCGCCTTGAGGGGCCGGCCCGGCAGCGCGGGCCCCTTCAACGGCTCCTCCGCCCTGAGGCAGCGCGGCGGGGGGCCGGTGCCTGTGGGGGCGCCGGGCCTGGCGTCAAGGGAAACGTGTGAAGGGTGTCGGGCCGTGTCTGCCCGCCATTCCACCTTCCCGCCGGCCAAATTACCTCAGCGGCCTGCCGGCTGCCGCTGGGGGAAAGGCGCGGAGCGGGCAGGAGAGGCGAAGGGCGGCGGGGAGCAGCCCGCCGTGTGACAGGACCGGCTGCCAGCGTGAGGGGGGTACGCGAGGAAAAGCTCCACATCTTACTTTTCTTTAAACTCATCTGCCTCGTAGCCCTCCGCGCCAGCATCAGCTGGAGGTGTGGGACGGTGTGTGCACACAGGCTCGGGGGAGAAGTTAAAAAAAATCTGTCATCTACTGATGCTGCCAGGGCTGAACGCCAAAAGAGAAGGGGAATTGCACTTGTAAGTTTTACCATTTAAAAAAAAAACAAAACTTACTGAAATAAAATCGAGCACTGCAGTGTCTCAGGATAATGCAGGAGTTTGTGTAACAGTGTGATATGTGAGTGTACGGAAACGTACACATGAAAGAACAAAAGATGTGCTAAGAGAAATGCAGTGTAGAGTCCTCTTTGCATTCAGAATAGAGTCCCCTTATAAACAGATTTATCAACAACGAAATATAAAACACCGCTCTCCCTTTACTCCATGACTAGCCATTTTCTCCGTCTCACAGCAGGGTGAAAAAATGGTATAGTTTCTCTTTTCTTGAGTCTGGTCATGGGGGAAATGTGACTGAGTCTTCTATTTCTCCTTGATTAGAGAGAAGGATCCCAGAGGGGCAGATGTTATTGAGAAAGTGAGACTAGGAAATTCCCAGACGGAGAATTCTTCCCATCAGGGACTAGTGCTGCTTCACACACCTGCGCCAGCGATTTGCACCTGCACAAACAACTCAGGTAAGCGCTGTGCTACTCCCAGTGCAGATTCCCCTGTCAGATTAGACCAAAATTCCCCAGGCAGTCAAGATGCAAGCTCTGAAGCAGCCAAACTCATCTGGCCTAAGAGGATGCAAATGAAAGGAACTTATGCGCCTGCACGTCGCTGTATTTTAATACCTACTCAACAATTCCATGTTGTTGGGCTGATGACGAGTCAAAGGACTTCCGAGATTACTAAATATCTTAATGTAACTGAATCAAACTTTACAATTCAGTGCTCTGGGATTACCAAAGTGGCATCAAGAAAAAATGGTTTAAGAAGTTAGTAGTTCTGTGTTTCTTGTTGCCTTTGTTGGATTGTATTTGATCAGCAAGTGTGGCATGTTGTGATCATCCCTGTGATAATAAACACTTTTACTGTGACCATTGCACGGTCACTTACTCAGCTCCAGCTTACTGGGCTTGTGTTAAAAAACTCAATCTTGGGAGCTATTACCTTCAGTTTTGTAGCCTTGAGTGAGTAACTGCCTGTCTAAAGCTTCAGGTCATCACAGCTACAGCCAAGTGATCCAACATGATAAATGCCAGACTTGGTGAGGTTCCCCAGTTCAAGCTGTCTGCATGGCCAGTGCGGCACCGGGGCAACCAAATCTCTGAGGCTGCTGATTCTGGGCATTGAATCATAGTCTTTCTGCCTTGGACTTCAAAAATGTGCTTCAGCTTGACTGAGGGTTCATTTCACAGTGCAGGCTTTTGTTAGTTTTAATGCAGTAACTGCCAAGTTGATGGGATAATACCTCGGAAAAAGACGTGCATCTAACTTGCTTGCAGATTTTAGGGACATACTGGGTAGGTCCAGCAAGTTGCTGGTTCTTTTTGCTGAAGCACTGGGCTGTCAGTACGACTCCAGTGCGTAACTCTCCATGAAGCCACTGACTAAACATTTAAAGTTAAGGGGCATAACCATGAATCTTTAAGCTGCAAATCAATTTTTTCAAGTGGCTGAAAGGCAGAGGAGCCATGCCATACTGCACGTATTTGAGGGACTGAAAAGAGGAAACCATCCCAAAGCACTTCACAGGCAGGAGGTGACAGTCATTTCCCAGGAAGCAGCCACGGGTTCTGGCACAGTCCCCCGTGGATCAGAACAGGCCGTGTGCCCAAGTGGCCCCGAGGAACCTGGTTTTGCCAGCCCTGGCAGCTCTCGTTGGGTTACTTCTGTATCACCAGGATTCTTATTGCTGAGCAGAACTCTATTCTATTGCACCAGAAGTCCCATTTTGGCAGGAGAGTTGGGAATCACACATGGCTCCAAAGCTAGAGAGCACTAGCCATAACCAAGTTAATGTTCACAGGACCTGAAGGTGACCGGGTTCAGCAGCTGATGCCAAGACCAGAGGCTGCCACCTCCCCGGCTGCTTCAGGAGCTCTGTCCTGCAAACCGGCAGACACCAGATAAGGCTGATGAGCCAAAAACAAAGTACGAGGTTTCTCAATGACTCAGTCCCTCCTTGATTTTCAGCTACATCGATAAGACACGAGTGTTTCTGGAATCACGAACTCGGTGTGTGTCATCAACGAGCTGCCGTGAGGTCAGGAGTTCTCCACCTGCCAGAAGAGACACCCCGAGTCACCCCGGAGCAGGAACGGAAAGCGGGCGCCGGTGGGGAAGCGGAGCTGCCACCCAAGCTGCGGCGGAGTGAAGCGGCGTGTTCCCGCGCTGGTCGCCGGTGCGGAGCGAAGGAGCCGGGCACTTAAACCCCAGACTTCACCGTAAGCTTCCCGCGTCATCTTCACCTGGAAAACATCCTCCGGACCGCAAGGTTATTTTAAGGGGAATTGGGGTAACGATCCCGGTGGAGCCGGGGAAACGCCCTCAGCACCGAGCTGTGGCGGCTCCGCCTTTCGGGGCTGAGGGAGGAGACGGGAACCCCGCTCCCGGGGCTGGCGGGAGGTTAAGCCTCGGGCTGGCTCGTCGGGACGGCCGGGCCCGGGATGGCACCGGCGCTGCCCCCGGAGCAGCGTGAACCGACACCCGTTAAGCCCGGGGTGGGAGGGGGAGCGGAAGCGGCGGGCGGAAGCGGCGCTCCTCACAGCGCTCACCATAGAGCTGGAGGACCGGCAGGGCTCCGGCATTTCCGGTGGGGCGCTGCGTCACATCCGGGCGGCGGAGATGCCGGTAAGGCGGGTGGGGGGAGGAGGGGGCCGGGGCGCTCCTCTAGGACTCTCCGCCCTCTGTGGGGCGCGGGAGCCGAGCGGGCCGGGGAGCGGGCGGCTTGGGCCTCCACCGCCGCTACCGGGGGCCGCCCCTCGCGGCGACGGACCGACCCCGCCGTGGGGGAGAGGTGCCGCACCTGTCCGGTGTGGGGGAGGGGCGCGGCCGAGCCAGACCTCGGCCCTCCGCCCGGTCCTGCAGTGACGGGGCCTCCCTCTGCCCCTCGCCCCGGTGTCCGGCCGGTGTCTGTCGGGTTGCCCCCTGTGCCCGCCGTGGGCAGCCGGGCCCGGTGGCTCCGGCCCTCGTCCCCCCTGGGTCGCTCGGGGCCTGCCCTCCCGGCTGCGGGCCCACACGGGACGGCGGGGGGATCCTCGGGACGTGCGTTGGGCTGAGTGACTCTGCTTTCACCGTGCTGCTTGTCTTGTCCCTTCACGGCAGAAAGCGAGGCTCCTGTACCGAGCACCTTGTGCTGTGCCCCTTGCTGTCAGGCGTACTAGAGGGCAGCTTTAGGTTCTCTCTAGCCAAGCCAGCATCCTCCTCGTTTTTTAGTATATTAAATATATTTGTAGTTAGGACGGAAGGGGGAAAAGAAGTGTACATAGTTTACTTTCTTCTCCCATCCTTAGTGCCTGAGTGCTTTCCCAGTAGGCAAAAATACATCTAAACTTGTATTCATTTTCCCTTGTAGCCCAAAGAAGAAATGTTGTATGGGTATTTGTGAAATAACTTCTGATCTACCTGTGGTCATCAAGATATTTCTCATAACCAGAAATGTTACTTCTTAACAGACAGGAAAAGCAGGGTTTTCTTGGTGACAGGTTGTTTGTATATGGTTGCCTTTCATCAACAGTTTGAATAATTTCACTGTTTAGCAGACTGGGAATACAGCCTCCTTGTCTCTTGCATGCTCTATGTGATTTTTCAGTTGAACCCATAAATTTCCAGCGCAAACAAGTCAATTTTACATTGAAAATGAGCTATTGCAAAGAAAATGTGGTAAATAGCCTTTGAAAATTAATTTAATAGCATTAGGATGTTATTTTGCCGACACAATGTCAACAGAAATGCAGGAACCTGCATAAATTGAGTTTTCCCAGTACTTAAAAGTATATTTTACAGTTACACGCAACACGTATTACGTGCTTGCTTCTTTTTGCTTTGCTTTTGGTTTTTTTGGTTCCTGTCTCTTTATATTTCCTTTTTGTTGTTGTTGTTTTAGGTTAAATTGAATATTTGCGCAACACAGCTTCTTGCAGAAGGACTGCTGCACTGTTTTACACTTAGGAAAATATGAGAATTAGCAGGGAGCGTCGTTCTTTCTGAACTAAAACTAAAGAAACCTGTGCCTTGCTGAGGACAGCGGCAGGAGTCGGACACTTGAATCAATGTTATCGGATGAGTTAGAATCCAAACCTGAGGTGAGCAATTATGGACTGGGTTTGGTTTCCAGGAACGTTTTCAGGCAACACTTTGAAAAAGTTCAATGTGTTTACTCAGTTTGCTGCATCCATATTAATTTGCAAAGTGTTTTCAGTGCCATCTTCTAATGCTTCCATGTTTTGATATGAGTGGCAAAAAATTAAAGAATATTGCAGGTTTTTTACCCTCCTTTGAAGTGTCAGCCAATACTCTGGCCTGTTCTCAGGTTACATTATTTTTTTCACTATTACAATCTTATTTCTGTTACAAGAATAAAATAAATTACTGTATTGACTACTTCTTTCCCTCAAACCAAATTGACTTTCCTCGGTTTTGGGGAGTCTGAATTATTCTGTTAGCATCAGCCAGCTCTGTTTTTGAAGTGCTTGTGTTTCCATTCAGCAGCTGGCAGAAGTGGTAGGCAGCAGCACCGAGAGGATTACTCACACGTTAGTCAACTAGAAGTTTACTAGAAGTGCACTCACTTGCAGGCAGAATATTTAGGAATATGTATAGTAAGTAGGTGGAAGGGACTGCATTGATCAGACACGGCAGTGTACTGACCAGCAGCCAGCTAACATATCCTTAGAGTCTCCTCTCTCTCCTTTACCTATGGTTCTTTCTCCACTTGCCCACCTTGATTGCTCCTTTGATCTTCCCCTGAAAGATGGCATGACAAGTTTTACACATCCTGCAGTCCTTTGTTTTATCTGATAATAAATTTGGTCTTTCCTATAACCTAAGATGGTTTTGTTTTCTTGCCAGTTACAAACGTTCTCATTGAACCTCTTTCACTTCAGTGGTGGCCCACCGATAGTGTCTGAGTAGTTCTGGTCTTTGTTACTCTAACCTGTTATTTGCTAGATTCAACTGCCTGCAGTTTGTTAAATTCAACAGTTGTATCAGTGTTTTCAATTTATTACCTCTCCTGGTTTTTGCATTTGTCTTTTAGGGTGAATAGCTGTTAGCCAGCTATCTGTACGTTCCTCCACTTAAAAGTGCAGAGGACTGTATTGCCTTGTGTCCTTGCTTTTTTGATTCTCAGCTTTACATCTTCAGAAGGCGAAGGTCCGAGAGCAAAGGATTTAGTACTGCTGTGAAGTACCTTTTGAGGAAGTTCACAAGTGTAAACAGAATTGCTTTTGTTGAGTCTTCTATCGCTTTTCAGTCAGTGTGCAATACAGCAGGTGTCTTAAACTGGTACTTTACAGAGAGTGATGATTACATGCTGGTAATTTGTCACAGCCCAGGTGATGTGGTAAGGCACTTGTTTCTTAACAGAGCAGCCAAAGTCCTTCTGATCATGCTGCAAATTAATAGTAGTCCTGCGTAGTCTCAGTGGGCTGCAAAAGGAGTTCCTTTTTCTTACCTTGCGGTTGATATCTTATAACTTCTATCAAATTTTCTCCCAGCTCTGAATGATAAAGCGGGGGACTTTGTTACTTCAGTCTGTGAGTAGATTCTCATAGATTATTTCTGACAGCCAGGGACCAGGATAGTTGGAATGCTTGTTCCCTCCTTTCTTAAATAGGAGCTCTAAGTGGGCCTTGTATTTTCTCGACTTCAGTAAGGTATTTGTTAATTGGGCATGTTTACATAATAGTCCTATTTCCCCATAGCAGAGTTGCATTTCCTTCCAGCAAGCCCAGTAGGCCATTCTCACGGAAGCATGAAAGCTACGGTGGTTGCAGAGGGCCTGCATAGATGCTGTCTTCTGAACCATGTTCTTCAATCTTGATCAAGGCTGGTTTATACTACAAATTGGGATTCATTCGCATTGTGGATTACCAAATCTATACATGCCCTCTTTCTGGTTCTGGTGGTGAAAGCTGGGTGTTAATACTATTTTTTGCTCCTTTAATGTGAATTTTTTTACACCTTTCTCAAATAGCAGTTCAAGTGTCTGTGAAAGTCAGTTGTGATTTTATATCCTCTGGTGAGCCATGGCACCGTAATTCTTATAGCCGCTGATGTTCTTTCATGTCCCCTACCATGGGAGAAAGGTATTTATTAAGAGCTAACTGTATTTGTGTAACATCTGGATAACATTAATCAATGCATTATGGATGGATTACATAAACTTCTTTGCTACTGCTTTTATCCCTAAAGAAGCCACCAATGTGCCAGTAAACGTGTAATACTTGAGTAGAGGTGAATTCTCCTTTTCTAGGAAGTTACAAAGCTGCTTGGAGACAGTTTGTAGGGGCAGATGGATCTCCCTTTTCTTCTCAGCTCCCTGCCCCCAAAGCTGTATTACCAGCATTCCTCAGGGAACTGATAAGATCTGCATTTTGCATGCTTTAAGCCTTAAGCATGATTTGCTACAATTGCAAATATTTGCAGCCACCTCCACACAGGTCCACTGCAGGGTGCTTTCTGCTGTCTGGGGTAGCTGTAGCACAATCGAGTGAACTACAACTTTGGTCTATAAATTGAATTGGCTATTGAAAAGGGGATAGAGAGAGGTATTTTAGCTTCTCCTTTCTCTCTTCATTAGCACTGCACAAGGAGAGGCTCTTGTGAATGAATTAATTCCCCCCAGGTCGTACGGAGGAGGGCATTCTGGTTTCCAGCTAACCAGCCTCCTGCCCTCCACACCCTTCAGCTCCGGCCCCTCCTTTCCCCTCCCCCTCTGCCAAATGTTCTTTTGACCTCTTGATTTTGTAGTGATTCAACTGGCTATATTTAGAACAGAAACAGTATCGATAAAAACGTGGTCCCTGCTGCTCTGGGAGTCTAGTCTGGCTGTTGGGTGAGAGATCTGAATGTTAGTAGCTGGGCTGGGACCCTTGTCCCTTCCAGCCACCCCCATCTTAAAACAAGCAGATGCCTGACACTTCTTTGCTCTTTAGTCATCTGATCAAGAGGGTCTGCTGTGGGACACAAACTTCGTTTTTAGTGCATACACTGTCTACATTACTTACAGGATTTTCAGAGTTACATAGTGCTGCCAAAAGCAAATTCTTAATAGAAAGATGCAGCTGAACTTCGCTCATTTTGTCTCTCGAAGTCATACAGGTTCTCTCAGTATGACTGTCATCTGGCTTATAAAGTTTGAGTCTCTAACTTGAGGATGTCATCCATTGCAATTAATATTAAAACTTGTTTCAAATTTGAAGGGATATCTTGGCTATACAGTAAAGCCACTTTACACCTCTTACCATCCCTTCTGTGTTCTGTTAATATTCTGTACATTCGGTTTCCCTAACTATTCCTAGTCAGGTGTTCTGAGATGTTCTGTCTGCTTGGTTATAAATTCTTGCGTTTTGGCCGTATTTGTGAAGGATCAGTCCCCTCCTTACACAGGGATTCTATAGACAGCATCTCAGGAATACTTACAGCCCATCTGGATCCTGGTTGTCATGCCAGATATTAATGTGGTTACGAGATATGAGAAACTGTCGCGTCCAAGAGTATTCCTCCCCTCCTGGTCCTTCAGACAAGAGACCACTGGACGGTTCCCAGGTGCAGGCAGAAGGCTGAGGCTGAGCTGTAAATATGTGCCCATGCACACATTGACAGTATAGACACACGTGGCTGTAAACACTAACACGTGGCAGGACAGTACCTTTACAGGCACTCACAAACACAAATGCCATTCACATGGAACAGGAAGACCCCAAACGGCCTAATTCTGTTCCTACTCATCAGGTAATCAGGCTTGATGTTTGCTAGCATGTCACACCACACGTGTGCCCTCTCTCAGCTGATGTGCATACTCACGATCATGGATCTGTCCAGTCTCTGCCAAACCTTGAGTCCTTCCAGTATCCATCTCTGGGCCCCGGGCTCTTTAATCCAGCCTCTGGCCAGGATCCTGGGTTTCCAGATTGTGGTTTTGTCCTGTTCCCAGGCTAGTCCAACTTGAAGTAGGTGAATGTACCCAGAGCAAGTAGCACTTAGAAAGTAGAAGGGGTAGTCTACAGTGATGAGGCAGAGCAGCGCACTGACCTGCAGCCTGCTAACATGTGGTCGACCGACATTATCCCCCACTCTCTCCCTGTTCTGTATGGTTGTTCCTCTCCTATCCACCTTGATCCCTCCTTTTCCCTGCCTTTGATCCTTCCCCTAAACATCCATAAGTTTTTTCATATTCCCACAGCCTCCTCTTAAGACACCTTAATCATAAGTTTTACCCGGGCCCGGAATCTGCCCCATATCCCCTAAGAAGTGTGCTCTTTGCCTCCGAGATGTGTTGTAGTAACCCATGATAATATTGTTCCTCTCTTTTACAAAGTTTTTGGTCAAATTTCTTCAAGGTCACACTCAAGTCGTTCCTGTAATGGCCCATCCATTAGTGTCCCCGGAGTTCTGGTCTCTTTTATCTGCAGTTTGTTAGAGTTTGTGTATCTGCACATTTAATTTATCACCTCTCTTCTTCCTAGGCTGTCTTTTATGGTGAATAGCCAGTTACCAGATAATCCTAGAGTTTTCAATTTGCTTTCAGCTGAAAAAAAAATAAAACAAATTAAAAGAAATTTGAGAAAGCAGCATAGTGTTTGTAATTAGTTTGTTGTTTTTTTTCCCCCCAACGTTCTGGTTGGTGTAGTTGTCACAAAGGTATTAAATGATTTTGAACCGGAAGGAAGGTTTCTGAAAGTGTGTGCTTGTCAAGACACAACTGTCACATGAAAATTTTTATTTTCTCTGAATTATTTGATGTAGAGTTGGGAGGCATAGATTTGGTTTGCTTTAGTTTATTGGAAGAGTTGGGGTTTTTTATTCCACAGTTTAACAATGAGCATGATTTTTGTTTACTTCTGCTTCTTTTGCCCCCTCTTAATTCTCTGTACAAGCTTGTTATTACTTTACAAAGAAAATTAAAAGTATATTTTCTTTTGAACATCTGTTTGTGGCTGCTGCATTTTGCTCTTCCCTGGTGGCTTAATGTTGCTGTGTGGAAGTGGAGAGTTTGAAGCAAAGCTTTCCTATTGTAGGGGGAGAGTTTTATCTAAGGCTTCCTGTATAAAAATAGAAGAGTTCATAAAATAAGTGTTTTGTGGTGGTGTAGGCAGGAGTGGGGATCATGAACAGTGTCTAAATGAAAGACAATCCAGTAATTTAGAACCATCTTGCTGCTCACATTTTTTAGTTCAGCTTCTTTATTCTGGTTGCTTTGCCCTGTTATTCCTAATTCTCTTCTCTTTTTATCCCTTTTTCCTATTTTTTTAATCTTAAATTAGAATGCATTGCCTTGGGGGAGGGACTGTCTCATATTGCCTATGTATTTTTTTGATAACATAAAAATAGTTTCCTCTTCTGACTGGGTCCTCTGGATAATCCTGTAATATACCTAAGAGGAAAAAATGCTAACCTTGCAAACTGCGGTCTGGCTTGTGGCCTAGTTCAGGTGGCATGTTGCCATCTGAATGACTTCAAGACTTAATTTTTACCTTCGTAACCGTCAGTGATGACGGGCTGCTGGGTGAGCTGGGAGCCAGCAGTGTCCTCACTGACCAGGGCATGGTCCTGCAGCACCTGAGCATGGCAGGCACAGATGGGTGCTGGAAACGGGGTCCATCCACAGCCCTGGACAAGGCAAAGTGATGAACCAGGTCCAGTGACTGTCCAGAGTCCAGTCAGAAGTAGTTTGAGACACTGATGCAGTAAAAGTCTTAGGTTCATCCAGAAGACACAGGGCTTGATACCGGTAAACCTACAACACAGCTCAGAAAGGGACTAGGGAGCACAGGTTGAGCTTTAATGGAGCCCCTGGGCAGAGGGTGGGGGCCCCAGGTGAGACCTACTCAGGGCAATCGAGGCTTCAGAGCTGTGACAGTAACTCTTTGAGGTAAAACCGTGTGAGGAAGCATCAGTATTTCCAGTGTTTTCATGAGAGGAAATAAGCAGAGAGAAATCAGAGCCCAAACCATTAAATTTTCTTTGCAGTTTCTTTGATTTAATGAACTTGGTCCTGGCTCAAAAGGCTGGTATCTGCTATAGAAAGAATTTGGAATTGGGTACCAGCAGTTCTGAAAATTAAATACTAAGACAATCACAACATACAAAATAAGAATAAAATTTTTGGTGACTGTTGGGTTTTAATCGCAAATACACCATGGGAGTATCATGCTTTTTTACTCTGTTCCTTTTGACACTGATGAACCATCTCACTGCACAGACAATTCTGCATAAATTGCAGAATGAATGCATGCTAAAATGTTTCACAGTGGGGTAGTAGCTTTTCTATAACTGTCTTGTATAGTTTCCTTCTAAATGCCAAAGATAAAGGGAGTTTGTTGCCTACAGTTGTTTGCTAGACAGCAGCAGAATGCAGGATCTTTATGTCAAGGAGTTTCCTAGAGATAAGGAATAGCGACTTGAGGGTTAAGTTTTTTGTATATTGTTATTTTCCATATTTATTTATTCTGTATTTTTCAAAATATTTTGAGAATGTGAATACAGGACTAAATCTGTTTGGCAGAACTTGCAGCCAAATAAATAGATCCTATATATGGTTTTTGTGGAGTATGTGTCTGAGTCTGTTACAACTGACCCCTTTCAGTTTTTCTGGTCTCCAGAAGTTTAATTTCATACAGGGGAGGGATTTGAGACCATATTTGTTTAAAAACTTGTGGAGTTTACAGAAGAATTAGTTCAGTCCATTGCAAAAGTTGGGCTGTTACCTTCTAACTCCCAGCAGCACTTCCTTTGTTAAATCAGAATATTTTAGTACAGGCTGCTGTGGCACTGGTAATGGAAAAAAGAGAGTTGTTTCTGTGTCAGTGTCTTGGAGGTAAAGCGGAGCTCAGCTTTATGTCCAGTTTTCTGACAAAAGCCTGAGATGTTGAGATTTGGTGTTGTCAGGGGAACAGAATGAGTAAACAAGGCACATGCTTTGCTGCTCTGAACCTGGTTAAATATGGGAAGACTTTCAGGGGTGAGGAAGGGCATTTCTCTGACTTCCAGTTCCTCTTCAAATGTCAACTTCCTTCTTTATAACCGGAGATTTTTAGGAGTTAGCCAGAAGTAATTTTTGCATTGCCAGAGCTGACTGATATTGAGGATCCCTCAATCTGCTGGACTGAGTCACCCATCCCAACCTTGTTCCTCTGATCATTATCTGCCTTTTTTGAATAGCCATTAGCTAGACATCTTTGCAACTAGTCTTTTAATTGCTTTTTTTTTTTTAATTTAAAAAAGGCCAACTTTCAGTTAAGTATTTAAAGACAAGGATTTAAAAAAATTCCTGTACTAAAAGCTAAGCATGAAAAACGTATACTTGTGAAGTTAGAGCATAGTAAAGTATCATGTGGTAAAAGTTGAATTAAAAAGGAAAATATGCCTTAAAACATGGCATATATTGATAAAATTTATCTTGGTAAAAGATTAATTTAAAAGAAGGAAAGCCTAAATAGCTTTCAGAGTAGTTTGCAATGATCCAGAGCTATTTCTTGTATGTTAAAGAAATTATGACAAATACAAATAATTACTTCGTTGTCATTAATGTAAAATGAAAAGCTTCCATTTACTTTGATGTGCATTCATGGGATTATATTCAGTGTCTCCTACAAGACAGTAGTAATGGGCTAATGGACTGAGCTTAGTACCTTTTTAAATGATTGGCGCTGCTCTTCCCCTAATCTGCAGTATCTTTTTTCAGCTGCTGGTTCAGTTTGTTCAGAATACTTCTATCCCACTGGGGCAAGGGCTGGTGGAGTCGGAACCAAAAGACATCACCTGTCTCTCTCTCCTTCCTGTGACTGAGACCTCAGAATGCAACAGGCTCATGTTGCCAGGTAAAATCTATGCAGCGGATCTTTGCTTCGGGCCCTTCATAGAGCTGTCTCACTGCACCGCTGCGGTGCGCTGCCTCTTCTGATAAGGCATTCCAGGGGTGGGGGAACAAATTTGGAAGGGTGACTGAAATTTTTCTCATTTAACAAAGTCTGACTAGTTAGAAAATTCTTTCCTCCAATCTCTCTCAAGTTCTGTTTTTTATCCTAGAAAAATAATTTCATAGGTATCTTTTAGTCATAGTGTATTTATACTTTCATTTACTCTGGTTTTGCTTTCTTCTCTAGATGATGAAAGAGATCTCACTTCTCCAAGTCACACTAATTCTTCCAAAGATGTTTCTTCATCTGCTGTATTGAGAAGTCTCCAGGTAAATGTGGGCCCTGATGGAGAGGAAACAAGGGCACAGAATGTTCAGAAACCATCAGAACTTCTGTCAACTCCAGAGACTTCCAGTTTATTGCAAGACCTCCAGCCCAGTGACAGCACTTCATTTATTCTCCTCAACCTAACAAGAGCAGGTAATTCTCCTTCTGTTTGTCATCTGGCTGGATATGTCTCAGACAACAGAATGCAGGAGATAAAAGTACAACTCTGTCCCTGTTGCTTATGAAGGGCAAAGATCACGAAATTTGCTGGGCATTATTGGATATTACAGGAGCATTTAATCATCAACAGCTTCCTACCACGTAGAGGTCAGTGAAGACTTTTTCAGTGCAGCTATTGCATCTATGCCATGAACACTAGCCTCTGGGAAGCAAAAGAAATTTCTCTCTAATCTTATCCTTCTGTTTCATGACGTATTCTTCTTTTCTAGGGCTGGGGTCTCCAGCAGAGCACTTGGTGTTTGTTCAAGATGAAGCAGAAGATTCTGGGAATGACTTTCTCTCTCATGATAGCACAGACAGCAGTACCCCGTGGTTCCTACGAGTCCAAGAATTGGCCCATGACAGTTTAATTGCTGCCACTCGGGCACAGCTCGCTAAGAATGCCAAAGCAAGCAATAATGGTAGGAAATCCCCAGCTCTGTCTCAAAAGTTGAACGTTCCATACGAGGCCCCTGGTTTTGGCTTGTTTTTTCCTCTCTTTTTCGCTCTCTCTTGCTTTTAATCTGTTCTGACGTGTCTTCAAATTATCAGTGACAGAATTACACAGAACAATTGTGTCATTTTTCTGCAATATGAATCAGTGCCTCAGTTTTTATCAGGGAATGAACCTCAGTGGAGTCAGCAGTTCCGTTGTAGTCCGCCTGTTCTCTGGTACATGTGAAGAGTCTCTTCTTTCTGACTGCAGCTGCTTGTATTTCAAGTTTCATTTTCACTTTCAAATGTCTATTTTTAATGCATACTGTAATTCATACTTTCTTAGTTCCACTGGGTTTGGAGATCAGCTGCCTGGAAAATTTGATTTAGTGACATACTTTGTGACTTAATTATTTTAATAAATAATTGCAAGCAAATGCAGTATCTCTCTTTTAGCTAAGGCATTTAAAGAAATAGTTATCCTGGCTGATATTTAAAATTGGTTGGTTGATATTGATATAGACACCAGATTTACAATTTTTGATGCATTGGTTTTCTATTCTTTTGGTAGCAGCTGATGTGATACAGGTGGCTTGTTGGGAAAAGTTCATGGCCCTTGTAAGGTTTGCAAATCTGTGCCTGACCCCTGTTATGGGGAAGGCAGCAGCATGTAGGACATAGTAAACAATTAGTAGCCAGGCATATACATGTTTTACTGTCCTGTGTCATGTCTGGTGCTGGTTTTATGTACTAAATTTGACACATAGTCATCTGTATCCTTTTTAGATTTTTTCTGGTCTTTTTCTTCCAGGTGAAAATGTTCATCTTTGCCCAGGAGACGGGCAGCCGAAGGACTCCAGCCCCATTCCTCATCTAACTCGTGTAGAAAGGAAGCTGAAGTGCACAGTTGAGGGCTGCGATCGGACATTTGTCTGGCCAGCTCACTTCAAGTATCATCTAAAAACACACCGGTGAGCAGAATGAAGCTGTATGTTGTCATGACTTTGAAAAACTGTGCTCTGTGTTTGGGACATCATTAGTTTTTGACCATACCTGGTATTATGCTTAGAAATACTAGGCCTGTTTTTTGCTTTAGGTCATTAATGTTGAAACACTTTGACCAGATATAGATTATTTTTGCAAGTCCTTATTAGTATTTGATTTAGAATGTTTGTATTTTAACAGATGCTTAATAAAAAGCACCAGTATCACTTTTGTGGTATAGTGAACATTAGAATTTATAGGATGCTATCATATTTTTATACCACTGTGAACAAAGTTGCTTGCTCTAACAGATTATCCTAATCTTTTTTGATAAGAAACGGACAATCTCTAAGGTAAATTGTAGATGAGAAGCTTAAAAACTGGGAAGGACTCCAGTAGACATGAGCCCATCATCTTGCCCTGAGACAGGGCCAGTGGTAGTTACATATGTTATATGTACACATACAGTCAGTTTTGATCCTGCAGTGACTGAAATTCTACAACGTTCCCATACAGTCTGTTGCATTGCTTTATTTGATCATTCTGGGTAGGGATTAGTCAAGATAATGTGATGAAAAGATACTACCTGAACAACTTCTTCCAGTGGACCACCCAAACTCTAGTTCCTTAAGACTTAGGTCAGTCACTTTGGGTTGAGTCTCTCAGTTTTCTGATAGAATTCATTTTGGTTAAAATGTTTCTGCTTTTTTATTTAATAAAAAATATAATAATTGAGTGTTCATGAAAAATACATTTCAGTAGCTGGTAGTGAAACAGCTGTTTTGTTGATTTCCAGGAACGACCGCTCCTTCACCTGCCCAGCAGAAGGCTGTGGAAAAAGTTTCTACGTGTTGCAGAGGCTGAAGGTGCACATGAGAACTCACAATGGTGAAAAACCCTTTGTGTGCACGGAGCTGGGCTGTGGGAAGCAGTTCACAACAGCTGGAAATCTGAAGAACCACCTACGAATTCACACTGGTGTGTTTTAGACCTCACCTATTTGTGGTCTGCGGAGGTGGGGTCTTTACTGAGGAGTAAACCACTTCCTCCTCTGTCCTCAAACTTTTGAGAATATTATGTTGTTTATCTCTGCCCTTCGTTAACGTCCCTTTTCTATCCATTCACATTGATCTATAGATCAAATTAATCAACAGGTTTCACTCTTCCTGTACCACATGATGATGCCGTGCTCTGCTCACACCCACACTCTGAAGATTCCCTTCCCTCCTCGAGGTGTTTGGTGGAGGGAGGGGTTTGTGTTGTTTTGGGCAGAAACTATGCTACTCCCAAGGGAATAGTTAGTGAACGCAACAGCTGTTAATTGTTTTTTATAAAGAAGTTATTTTAAATTCCTGAATAAGAATAGCTTAAATATTGCTGTGGTGTGGAGTCCTGGCGGACAGAGTTGTAGCCGTACTGAGACCTGGCTGAATCTGACTAGCTTGTTACCTCTGTTGCTTGGGAAATACAGGGAAGTGAGGAATACAGTGGAATGAGCAGCAAAAATACAGTAGCCAAGTCTGGTAGAAAAAGGCAATAGTTAGAAGGCAGCAGTTTGGCTTGCAAACTGCTCCGTTTGTGCTAATGCTAATTCGGGATGTTACCATATGCTGGAGCTGATGTACTCTCAACTCATGCTCAGCTTTTCATATTAAGCAAGAACCTTAATTTCATAGCGCTGTATTTTATACATGGTTTGTTTATGCTGTCTCCTCTGGAGAATTTGATCCTGCCTTGTCAATATTTTTATAAATTGGTGTAACAACCAAAGTCTTGGCAATGGCATAAAGTGCTTCAGGTGTTTTTATCCTAGAAAGTCGTTTGAGAGAGGTACATAAGTTACTGCTGAAGTGATCAGCAGTTTCATAGTTAGCAAAATTCATAGTGAATATTCTGGTGGTTTTATTGAGTTGTTTTTTTAAGACTCGGGGTTATCATACCACTTAAACAAAAGACACAGTTCAAGCCTCTCAGAATATTGTTGAGGTTCCCTGATGGCCCAGGAAGGTGGCATTGCATTTTGTTTGGTTAACGTTTCAAAATAACGTTGACAACTGTGAGAGCCCAAGGCCTCTCTGGTAAAATGAAATCGCAGATTACGTGGGCCGCCAGCAGCTGTTTATGCCTTCTGCCTTACACATTGAAAAAAGGCTGCTATTTGCAGTCTGGCTAGAACACACAGTTTGGGGACAGATGTTGAGATGTAGTTAAAAATTATATATACCAATAATAAAATTTTGAATGCGTAGTAACGGTAGCCATAGATTTTACAGTTTGCTTTTGCTTCCAGCCAAGTCACAGATAAAGTTAACAGGCCCAGGTGATACATCTGCAATCCACCATGGTGGGTGAGTGTTCTGCAACCAACAGAGCAGTAGCTTCTGGAGGAGTAAATAATAACTTTCTTAACTGCAAATTGATAATTTGCAATTAAGAGTTTGATCAGATCAAAGGTGTTATAAAACTGCAGGTGTAAATAGATCTAGGGTTCCTTGTAGGTGGAACTGTGTGCTGTTATTTTTATCAATGGTAGTTTTTCTTCCTTCTTTCCAAATTTTAAATATTTATAACAAGCCAGAAGGTAAAATTGGTGTTTGAGAATCTGCTACATATTTCAGGTTTGTAACACCAATCACAACAGTCTGTGTTGAGCCTTTTTGCTCAAATCTGTTGAATGCTGTAGCAGGTAGGAAGCTGAGAAATGAGCTGTAGGGAATGGACTCCTAAGGGCAAAATCACAGTAGAAACAATTTTAAAAACAAGTTTACTCTGAAAGAAGTATGTATATGTTAGACAATAAAAAAGGTAAAATAGCTTGCTTAACTCCTGTGGACTTGCTGTTACTCTGATAAAGTATTCTGGTTAAAGACTTGAAATGATAGTGTTAAACATGGTATATTGAGTTCTTTAGTGGGATGTTGCAGGCAAAAGTTACCTCTAGTTTAATGTAAGGCTTTATTAAGAGGGTGTTTGGAACAAATTAATTATATTGCATTGCATTAGTGTAGTCACCTCCCAATTTATCATCGTTTAGACAAAGACAAAAATAGCCGTGGAGATATATAAAAATAATAAAATGCTTTGAATTACTGTTTCTCCACGCATAAATGACTGACACATTTCTCACGGATTGCTGAATTCTGCCTGATCTGAAATAAAGTATAGAATCTGATACGAAGGGAAATACAGTTAATGGGATTTTTGGCACTGAGAGGCAGAAAGGGAACAGGATCCTGGGAGTGTGTGAAGCAGAGAGCTGGTTGTTAAGAGCTGCATATAGAGATACATCATAGTCCAGGTACTTTTATATTACTCTTTCAGTATTTATATACTTAGAAGTTCTATTTAGAAACAGTGGACCCTTACTTCACTTTCAGTGAATGATGATCTAAGAATATTTCAGAAAGAATGTCAGTGTTTCCTCTTGAAAGCTGATAAAGAGGATGCTTTAAAAGCCTGAGGAAGCATATGTATAATTTTAATTGAAATTTGTTGCTTATAAGGCCAAAAGGGAGAATGGGATAAGAGATCTCCAGGCTGTTCTGCAGGACTTGGACGATCAGAGCAAGTTGTGATCCCAAAATGTAAGGACTTAACTTTTCCCTTGTAGGGGAAAAACCCTTTCTGTGTGAGGCACAGGGATGTGGTCGCTCCTTTGCCGAATACTCCAGCCTTCGGAAACATTTGGTTGTCCACTCAGGTAAGAGTCTTGATCTGACATTCTGTGACCTATCTGAGAAAAGATCTTTATTGTAGGAGTTCAATTTCATTTCCTTAAGAAAAATCCCCTGGTTTCTACAGGACTGCTGGTCATAGTGTTTCATTACTTTCTTTGTGGCACCTGTAGCCTGTATACGTTAATCCTTTCTCCTGGTTTTGTTTCTAAATTTTATGTTTATAAATTCAAATTACATTTTTAAAGTTTATTTTTAAAATTGTTTCTAAAATATCATCACCTCTTCTGTTCTGGAGGCTTACTGTTCTCCAAGAAATAGCAGTATTTTTTTTTTTTTTTTTTTCTTTTGGTGTCAATAGCCATTTCAAAACAGTATTATTTGCTTGTGGTTGATGAGGTCTTTATTCTTAGTTTGCTAATTCTTGGGCTACTTTTTCCCCCTTCTACTCCAAGGACTGAAGCCCCACCAGTGCCAAATTTGTGGGAAGACATTTTCCCAGAGTGGTAGCAGAAACGTGCATATGAGGAAACATCACTCCCGAATTGGAACATCTGGCAGCAGAGAGCGAGAACAGCCAGGTAAGAAAGGGAGGGCACTCTGTGTGCAGGAGAAGTGCAGGAAGGAATTTAGTGGATGGTCAAAGAGAAGGGAAGGTGTTTGTCCTGAAAATATGAGACTACAAGCCAGTAAGGAATAAAAGACTGTTCCTCTTGGAGATGAGGATGGATTGCTCACCCTCCCCTTTTCTAGAAGACAAAGGTGTATTTCTGCATTGTGGTCAAGGGGCAGATAGGTGTATTGTTTTCAAAGTTAGCATGAATCTAGCATTTTTTTACATGGAATTTGTGCCCTTTGTTATGTATTCTTGTTATAAGCAGCTGTTTTTCTAATGCAATGTGAATTATTTAAGGAGAAAGCCAATTCTGCATGAGATCCTGCCATACTAAGGCTCAAAACACTAAATGTAGGCATTACCATCCGTTGGAGCACTGGATGCCCAAAGAGCAGGAACAGCTAAAGTAGGTGTCTAAGGAAGAAGTCTGTGTGGCTTGGAGGGGGGCAGGGATTGTATCTTATATTACAGTATTATTACATCATGAGAATTCTGTTTTACCCTGTTTTTTTCCACAATAGAGTCACTGATGGGCAGCAGTTTGCTGGAAGAATCTACAGTGCATAGTAAGAATCTCATCTCCATGAACTCTCAGCCCAGCCTTGGTGTCGAGTCCCTGCACCTGCCAGACACCGAGTCCATCATCGGAGTAGAGGAGGGTGAGACCAGCTGCTCCTTTTTCCGCCCTCTGATCTGCGGTGACTGAAGGGGGATCCATCGTTTCTCCTAGAGGCTCACCATGTTGCAGTGGGATGAGTGAACATTGCTTTAACTGTGCACAGAGCAGGTGGGTAGATGGAGAATGGGGCCAACTGGAGTTGGAGAAGACCTACTGGACCAAGTTTCTCTCTTGCAGAGCTTAAAAGGTGAAGTCTGCTGCTTAGGTGTCATTTAGCCCATGTCGTGGAATGCCATTTCAAAACTGTTTATACAGCCCATTCTCCTAAAGCCTAAAGCACTTGTTTTGCTGGAGCACCCGGGGGCCCCAGCTGAGGAGCAGGACCTCATGGTGCTAGGCACTGTACAAACATTCGGCATCTCAAGCAACAGGCCCTCCTCCACCCTTTACCTTCAGAGACTATATTCTAATACATCTCACTGTCAGAAGCTGACTTACTATCTGAAATAAATGTACAACTTGATATCATTTAATTACAGTTGCTGTGTTCTTTTCCTGCCTTCCCCAGTCACTTTTTTCCTGCAAAAGTGTTTTTTTTGGTATATCAAGCTCTTTAAATGAGTCTACCATGTAGTTGTTTTGAATTTTTGTTAATTTAAAAGACTTTGTTCAGAATTAGTGTTCCTAAGAATGCAGAGTTTTGCAAAGATACTATGCACCTATAATGGCTTCTATGTAACGAGAGTGCTTTGTGCTGAACGTAGAGGTAGTGCTGCTGTCAGGAAGGGTATTGTAACTGGGAGGTTCTTGCAGAAGCTCCACCAGGTACCCGTGAATAAGGTTCTGATATGAATGATGGAATCATAGAATAGTTTGGGTTGGAAGGGACCTTTAAAGGTCATCTAGTCCCCCTGCAATGGGGGGGACATCTGGATCAGGTTGCTCAGAGCCCCATCCAACCTGACCTCATGAATGTTTTCAGGGGTGGGGCATCCACCACGTCTCTGGGCAACCTGGGCCAGTGTTTCACCACCCTTATTGTAAAAAAATTTCTTCCTTACTTCTAATCTACCCTTCTCTTAGTTTAAAGCCATTACCCCTTATCTTGTTGCAACAGACCCTACTAAAAAGTCTGTCCCCATCTTTCTTTTAAGCCCCCTTTAGCTACTGAAAGGCTGAAATCAGGTTTCCCCGCAGCCTTCTCTTCTCCAGGCTGAACAACTCCAACTCTCTCAGCCTGTCCTCACAGGAGGACCCTCCTCTGGACTCTCGCCAACAGGTCCATGTCTTTCCTATGCTGAGGGCTCCAGAGCTGGATGCAGTACTCCAGGTGGAATCTCACCTGGAGAGCAGAACAGAGGGGCAGAATCACCTCCCTCGACCTGCTGGCCGTGCTTCTTTTGATGCAGCACAGAATACAGTTGGCTTTCTGGGCTGTGAGTGCACCAGATGTTGACCCCTGCCCTCTGGATGCGACCATCCAACCAATTCCTCATCCACTGAACAGTCCACACATCAAATCTGTATCTCTCCATTTTAGAGAGAAGGATGTTGTAGGGGACTGTGTCAAAGACCTTACAGAAGTCCAGACAGATGACTTCCATAGCTCTTCCCTTGTCCACTATGTAGTCACTCCATCATAGAACACCACTGTGGTTTGGCTACCATCTCACCAGTTAATGGGAAGTGCTCTCGTGAGATGTCTTCTTTGCTACAGTATTTTTATAGGTTAGCTGAACAGAGAGAATGCAATTCTTTTAACTAAAAATAACAAAATATTTTCATAAAATGCAAAATTACAGATCAAAACTAGAAATTACTTGTTTCCATGCCATTTTTGAGATATATTGAGAGATTACAAATCTCTTTTAGGATTACAGAAATGTAATCCTACTTTCAGAACGACACTTTGTTTAGCAAGAAAGGTGCTACTGAGTTTCAATTACTTAGTTTGATGCTTTTACTTTCAATCACCATTTCAGCAATTTCTGTTTAGGGACCAATATTAAGAGTTGGATTTATCTGTTACTGTATTCATGGATGTCACCTTAGTATTTGTTAAAGAGATATGGCATAATATCATGTATTAATTTAAAGTCAAGCCTTTGTTCCTCCTTTCTTAAGGTTTTCCTTTACACTTCACAAACTTGGAAATTTCTTTTTCCAAGCATCATCAGATATTATTAGGGAAATAAGCAACCAATTTTACTAAACCCCTTAAAATGTATGTATTAAAATTTCATTCCCACTGCTCCAGATATATCCATACAAGCCCAGTAGGCTTTAGAGAACAGACTTGGAGCATGGAAGAGATCTTCTTTCCTTCCTCTTTCAATGTGACGAGGCACGGTGATGCTATGATTACGTCACTGCTCTTTTCCAGGCAAGACAGGACAAAGAGCAGCCTTTGTGCGTCCTGCTCCATTAAACCTGTGTACAAACTGGTAGGCTGGTAACAGCCTGCCTTGAACCCTCCCAGCAGCTTAACCTTCTGAGTGTGGAAAGCCCTTCCAGTGAAGGGAGTATTCCCAACCTTTGGGAAATTTCTCTAGTGAAGGGCTGCATTTAACTGCCACAGCACTCAGCAGATGCATTGTGTGGAAAACTCTTCCACTGGGAAAGGAGGAAAACCAGAAAAATGCAAGCCTAAACTTAGATGTGCTGAAGATTCTGTGGGTCAGGAAGGAGGACGGCTGCAACCCAACGCGTTCAGCTGTGCATCAGCATGAACTGATCTCTGTGGAAATGTAACACTGCAGCCTGGAACCCTGGGGCCATAAATTCTTGGATCTAGTGCTTTGTTATAATCAAAAATGTCATGTTCTCAGTTTTATATCTTTATCTAATGTGGTAGCTCCTACAGGTTTTACTACTGATTTGACAATGAGGTTTTGTTGTTACAGTGTAAAGAGAAATGGATTGAGGTAAAGAAGATGCAAAAGAGACACGGCTTCCATTTAAGAAGTGATGAAAAGAGGACTTATAAAGAAACTGGACAATGCAGAAACATTGATAGCCATGTAAAAATCTTTTAATCTCAAAGTGCTTTGATATCATAATTCTCAGAAAACATTCCAGGAGGTAAGGGTTTGTATTTTTGAGATCATTATTACTGTCAGGTAAAGGAAAACCACTAATGTGTGAACTATATACCATTTAAGATGCACCAGGCATTTGAGTGCAACATGCTGACAGGTAATACCTAATCCTTCTTCCACCAAATCCACCTTGGATAAGATGTTAGAACAGTTTCCAAGAGTGAAATGTGGGAGATATTTTCATACAGAAAGACTATTGCTTCTTCCTAGTGGGAGGAAGGAGCAGAGCTGGTAATGAGTGAATGAAGAGTTAACACCGGAGAAGGACTTCCCTCTGAGTGTTCTCCCAAGGTAGGTCAAATCTTGGTTTTTCTTTGATTTTATACTTTGTTTAAAAGCATTCTACCACATACATGTGTAAACCAAGGTTTAGCACCCTGAAAGGCATTCTCCCCTTTCTGCGTGCTTCTACAGTGTGAACACAAGGAGCTGACACTAGAGGATGCACCTCTTCAATCTTTCATATCTACTTTTATCCAAAGATAGTGCTTCAACCTCTTTAACTTGTTTTGTTGCCTGTTATAGAAAGGGAAGTGGCTCACTGGGGGAACACTTGTGAAGACTAAGGGGGGCTGCAGGCTTTGTTGGGTTGGACAAGGCATGCTCTAAATACTAGGTGGTCTTTTTTTTCCTTTACCAAGTACTCACATCTCACTTACCCCAGAGCAATTCTTAGGTATCAGCCTAAACCAGAAAGTTCCTGAGGATTAACCTGAAGAATCTTGAATTAAAAAAAAAAATCAAGAGACGATCAATGGATTCTTCTGCTAGATCTTATGTTGCCATTTCCTTTCGGCTCTGTTCCTCTTGAGGTTCTCCTTCCTGTACAGTACAGTCGTCCTTTTCACCCTCAGGCTTGGGCACTCTGCAGAAATAGTGATTGTCTAATACCAAAAATGCTTTGCAGGGTTTACTTGCTGCTTTGCCCCATGCATAAGGAACAGAGTGCAGCCACAGCAGTTCAGATAGAGAAGCCATGGTGCTTAATAAGAGAAGCCATGGTGCTTATTAAGAGGAATGAAGTTGATTTAATTTTGCCTACACTAGATAATACAAACTGGAATGCTTTCATGAACAGGGAAAATATTTCTACTCAATGTCAAAACAACTGTATTGCATTGTTTTTATTACCTGTGAACATCAGATTCTTCTTCCAGCAAGTCAGTGGCATCTTTCCCTTTTTTCCTTACAAATTCTTCGCTTAGCCCAACCTGCTGAAGGGTGTGTCTGTAGCGACGCTCTGCTCCTTGACGAGCATCATGCTATGAAAGCGAAACTTA